GAGCCTCCAGGGCTTTCCCCACCTTGCTCTGTGGGTCTTGCAGTGTGTGTTGCTCTCCACTTCAGTGTGGAAGCTGTGAGGCACCTTCAGAGAGGAGAGCAGGGTGGCCTGAGGAGAGCTGAGCAAGTCTCTGGTTCTCTCACAGAGCCTCATGGTCTCAGCAATACTGTTCCCTGGTGAGTCTGGCTCTTCAAGCCTGGTCTCTCTTGTTGGGGACTTGAGGGAGGCCTAGGTCTGTCCCAGTGACCCCGACCCCCTGAGGCTCTTCTGGCACAGTTCTCTAGGTGGCCAGAGGGTTTTGGTAGGAGCAGCCTCTTTTCCAGAGGACTGGGTTGGTTTTTTGAGATGCAGCTATAGTGAATGATGTTATTTTCTGAGGCAGGAGGCAATAGTTACAATCCAAATTTATGACAGTATATCAAGAACATGGCTAATGAGGCAAATAACTGTCATAGGTCTAGCTAGAAACTTCAGGAATGTTCCAGACCTTTTCCTTCATATTTTCCATCAAGTATGTACGGAGCCTTCCTTGGTCTCGGGTCTTAACTGAGCCAAGCTCTCAACTCCTCCTGACACCCTATGGGGCAGAACTAACATTCTAACTCTATAGACAGGGAGCTAAGCTGAGAAGGAGACCACACTCTTAGGCCAGCTCAGGATGCATGCCCTTGGCCACACCCTCCCACTGGCTCCCAGTTATAAAATCTACTCAACTTCTTGTGTGGCATCCCTACCCTGAAGAGAAAAATCCAGTCTCCCTCATCTGAGACTTGCCCACTAGGCGGACTGACTTCCTGTTTAATTAACATTCCTCATGTGTCACTTAGAGCCTTTGGTATGGCAAAATTTGTCATAAATGTGACATATCTAGGGCCCCAGCTTCCAGAAAGATGAGGACCCTCTTGTAATAAGACAGTAGACATGGCACAGCACTCGCTCAGAAAGGCCTTCTTGCCGTGTGACCACAGACAAATCATTCTCTCTTTCCATACCTCAGGTTTCTTATCTTAATGATGTGGATCTTGACTGTATCCCAAAAACCACATGTTGAAGGTTTGGTTACCAGCCTCTTGTGTTTGGGGAGGTAGTGGAAGCTTCTGGAGGTGGAGCCAAGTGGAAAGAGGCGTTGAGGCTGTGCCCATGGAAAAGCTGTTCAGCCATGCTCTCTGCCCATCATGTACTGTGCCACCATAGACCCAAAGAAGCGGGCCAAAAGACCATCCTGCACTGAAGCCTTGGACATGGTGAGCCAAGACAACCCTTTTCCCTTATGCAGTTGACCGTCTTGGGTATTTTGTTACAGTAATGGAAAGGGCACAGGCCAGCCTGTGTGACTGAGATTGAGTGAGAAGTGAAAGGCTCCCAGCATCCTTGGTGTCTCCCAAGCATGGGCAGTTCTTCCCATTTGGCATCTATGCACAAATCAGACCTTTCTGGGGTCCTCCAATGAACCTGGCACTGTGCATATGCCCAGTTAACTAAGACAAAGGAGAGAGGTCCCAGCTGGGAGCCCTGGTGTCACCTCCAGCACCCCAGTTCTTATCCACCATCACTGCATGTGGTAGACATGGAACAAAGGCCATTGCACATGGTAGACACAGAACAAAGGCCACTAGATTGAACACTTTAAATCTGTTTTCTCAAATTGTGTTATTTTAAATGTTCTGGGCAGATGCCCATGTGTGCAGGGACACTTAGTCAGGCCAGAGGCGCTTTGTCTCTTTGAAAAGCCTCCATTGTGACCCCATAGTGGCCCCAATTGATTCTGGGAACAAAAAGCCCTTGTGTAGCCCCAAAGGCATGCTTGCTCCAGCCCACGGCTGGCAGTGCGAACCCTTTGCTGTCTCCTTAAGGGCCCGTGCAGAGAAAACTTCAGTCCTCCATTGGGGCTGCTGTGAAAGACAGGCTGATTCCTGAGGGGTGCCCTCACAGGTGCCTTCGCCAGGCTCAGCTCCTATGAAGTGGTCTCTGACAGGCTGGTCTGATTGGACCTACTGTGTGCAGAATGAGATGTCAGAGGTTGGCCTCAAGGGGGAAAGGGCTGCATGTGATGAAGCCCCACCCATACACCCTGCCCTTCATGGGGCAAGATCATCAGAAAGAGAAACCAAGACAGAGAAGTCACAGGCGAGAGCATCAATGTCCTGGTTGGACCTGGCATGTGTCGTCTTTTGCTGTGGGCCCGGCCCCTGTGTCCACCCTCTCCCATATTGGCCATTTCTAGTCACCAGCCCCATGGAGTTGTCTCTGGGGCTGCAGAAGGCAAGAAAGGAGAGATTGTATTTCCTCAAAACCTCACTGTCAGGTCCAAGTCATGCCAGAGGGTTCCATACAGCTGCCCCAAATGCCCAACTGTATCCCAGAAGCCCCTGCCACTTTGCATGTGGCCACCACAGGGACTCCCCTCTGTCACTTCCTGAGATGCTGGCAACAGGCTGCATGAAGATAAGTTGGCTGGAGCTGCCCAGAGCTGGACCCTGCTCACTCATGCTGTCATATTTATGGGCCATTTTGGCATCTGCCAAACACTGAATGTTCTTGTGAGCTCATGGAAGCTGATCAGGGGAGGAGGAGGCCTGAGCAGTGAGCTCTAGGCCCAGCTGTTCCATGGCCCCTCGTGTGAGGTGGAGAGGAGTGACCCTTCTTTCCGCTGGGCCCACACTTGGTGGCTATCCCAGTGGGGACTCTTGGCTTGGTCTGGTCTGACAGCTGACTGCTTCTTAATCTTTCCTTAGGACCATGGAGGAGATTTTGTTTGTTCTTTGTGATGATGAAAGGATTTTAAATTTTACTTGCATGCGTGTGTGTGTGTGTGTGTGTGTGTGTGTGTGTGTGTGCGTGTGCGTGTGTACAGGCACACACATGGGGGAGATGCTTCTCACCTTCCACCTTGCTGAGGCAGGGTTTCTTGCTGTTTCTGCTGCTGCTCTGTGAACTCCGGTCTTGCTGGCCCTCTGCTCCCGTCTCTCCCTCCCCTCTTCCTCCCATCTTTCCACAGGTGTGCTGAGACTGCAGATGTGGGCCACTGCTTCTGCCTCTTTTACATGTGTTTCAGGAAAGGAACTCAGGTTGCCAGACTGTTTTAGCCAGAGCTTTTACCCCCAAATCCATCTCCCTCACCCTGCTAGGGTTTATTTTGGTTTTGTTTTTAGATAGGATCTCATGTATCCTAGGCTGGCCTTAAACTCACTATAGAGCCAAGAACGACTATGAACTTCTGATGCCCCTGCCTCTGTCTCTGAGTGCTAGGCTTACGGGAGTGTGCCACATTGTTTGTGTGGTGCTGAGGAGGGGGACGAACTCAGGGCTTCAAGCATGCTAAGCAAACACTCTACCAGCTGAGTTACATCCACAGCTCAGTGGTTCCAGCTTTTGGCTCTTTAAGAATTCCCAGTTCTTCATCTCCTTCACACAGAGTCCACTGGACTGGGCCAGCTTTTGACTCTGAGGGCGGCAAAGCAGACCTAGGGGTCACTGGGGTGGTGTAGCAGCTCACAATAACCAGCGGTTCTTGAGATGGTTGAGTCCTTGACCTGGGTCCATCCATGTCCCTTGCTTCGGGCCCCTTAGTGGTCTGGCACTGTCCTTAATGCCCAGATTCATCCCCCACTACAGGACTCTGCTCCCCACCCTCATGACCACGACAAGGTTTCGCTGTCACTTCCCTGCATAAGGACAGGTCTTTGTAGCCTAGGAGAGGAGTCAAGCTCAGGACCCAGGACCAGAGGGCCTGGTGCAGATCCTTATGCCACCACTGTGTGAGTCTTTGGGTCTCACCTATGGAATAATACAGAGGCCATCACCTGTGGCTACCAGGAGAGTGGCCAGAGACCATATTTACATATGAAAGGTGCTTTCAGGGGTGCCTGGCCCCAGGCAAGGGTTCCAAAGATGACCAGCAAGATGTCTGCACAGGCGAGAACTGGGGTGTCAGTAGTACCAGACTTAAGGCCAACCCCAAGAATGCTTTCTTGCCCTTGATTAGGATAACACCAAGGTATTCCCCCAGAAGAGATTTTTCTCTTATCCAAGACCCCAATACAAATGTGATGTGTGTCAAGTAATAGAGAATTTTTGTGGGCTAAACAGCCTCCATCACTGAGAAGCCAATGGAGCCCCACACAGGTGCTTGGCTGCTGCCTGTTCGGTGCAGCTAATTTCTGTCTGGCTCTTCCCAGTAGCTTCTCCATGCTGTTCCTTTTGGGTATGGTGGATTTCCAGAAGGGCAGACCCCAGTAGGTACAGTTGCTCTTAGCAGACCCTTGTCCCTGCAAACCTTGAGTTCTGGGAGGAGTGAGGAATGGGCAGAGAGAGAGTAGGTTAGAGCAAGTGTGGGTGGGGAGTGGATCTGAGGGAGATGAAAACATGCTCACGCCATTACTTCTAGTTCCAACCTGGTGTTATGATTCAGGGAAACAGAATTGTAAACTTCAGAAGAGGACATCATGCTAATGCAGGAACTCTCTACTGGTCAAAGTGCTGAGGATCAGTGACTGCTGAACGCTTAGCCCTAAATCGGACATCTCCATCAGCGCCCCCACCTCAAGGCTCAGGGAACAGCAGAGAGGACAGAAAAGTTCTAAGAGGCAGAGGAAGGGGAGGAGTGCTGTGACATGCTGTCTTCTGGGTGTGACATGGCTTTTGTGCTCAAGAACTCACTGCAGCTGTGGTTAAGACCTAAACAAGAGCCAGCCAACAAGATCAGTCAACATTCCGTCAGGCAGCATGAACTGAACTCAGTGTGCTAAGGAGGACCGGGGCGTGAGGGTGGGCAGGGCATGTGTTAGGAGTGGAAGGGAGGAGTTGGGGATGGAGGTGATCATGATACATCGTATACATGTGTGAAATTGTCAAAGAATAATTAAAAGATTAAGAAAAGAAACTGCAAAGTTTCACAGACCCAGGATAGAAAGCGTGAGAGTTACGTCAGAACCATCCTCATGGTCTTTAATCCAGGTTTCTATGGTTACAGCAATTTGCAATAAAAAGAGAGAGGAAGATTGTATGAAAGTTTCTTTTAATGATTAAAAATCTGAAACATTGAGAAATCCTTGGGAAATTCATCTTAGTTGCCTGACTTCCTTCCTTCCTTCCTTCCTTCCTTCCTTCCTTCCTTCCTTCCTTCCTTCCTTTCTCCTTCCCTCCCTCCTGTCAAAAAGTGATCCTCATTCATGTTGGGCTGCTGGTTAGTATAATGTTATAGTGCAGTTTTGTTGAAAATGTAAAACTTTCCAGTCAACACTGTTTCAAATTTTGTTAAACATTATAATGAACTTCATATCATCTCCTAGTTTATATTTTAAATTTTAAAAATAAATCCCAACCTAATCTTTTCCTTATGTTTTACTATGAAATTTTGGCTGTGTAAAGTGGAAAAACTGGCAAATTTGGGTACCAGTGATGCTGGGATAGCAAATGTTCTCCTGGACGTGCCATTAAGACCCAATGTGAAGCTGAGGGTGAGATTCAGCAGTAGAGTGTTTGCCCAGCATGCACAGGCCCTGGGTTCCATACTCAGAACCAAGGTAGAAAAATTCCCAAATCCAATTTAATTGTGGCGCTCATCTCCTACTGTGTCTGGGGCTCGACTCTACACTATCACTCATTTCTATAAGCCGTGGGGTCAAGGTGAGATCTCCTAGGGGGAATCTGACTTTCCAGATTCTCCACATCCTTCCTTATCATATTTTCTCCTTTCAGGTCAGATGTCCCTAACCTGGAATATGGCAGCCACAAGTAGTCATTGCCTGTCTCTTCACGCTGCAGTCTGGTCCCTTTTCTCCCCCAAGGAGTGGTCAGAAGATGTGTCCACACACCTTGAGAGACCACAGACACCCAGACAGAGCATTTTAGATCAGCCTTATGAAGAGAGGGAAGAAATGCCCATAGCTAGTTTTCTCAAGACTTGAGAAAATTCTAATTGAGCAGACTACTGTGTCTTGAAAGAAAAAGGTGGAGCACCCTAGGATCTCCCTACAAGGGAGCTGCTATCCTGGTGGACATTGTTGTGATGGTGGGGTCCTCAGTGAGTCAAGCTGGGGAAGAGTGGCCCAGCATGCACATCTGAAATGTCCCTTGAGAGTCAGGTTAAGTCAAAGGATTCTGCAGGAAGAAGTTGACTGGAAGGTGTCCCTGATCCCAGAGAATGAAAAACAACCTCTCTACCCCCATACCTTTGAAGCAAGATATAAAGGCATTTAATAAAGTATTTCAGAGGGGCTCATCATCCACCATGAACATCTGGAGACCTCTGTTGGGTGAATTTCAGTCCCTGTGACATTCAGACTATCCACAAAGACTAAGACATGCCAGGAGATGGATGAATGCTCTAAAGAGCCTGTGGGGAATTCCAAGAGGCAATTCTTAAGACATGTTCTTAGGGTCAAGGGGAAAATCGTCATTTCTTCAGATCAAAGTTCCCAGTTCCCATCCACTGTCCCTGTCAAGGGCAGAGACCCCTGGCAAGACAGCTCCTTCTTCCCTCAGCCGGAGGTTAAACACAGCAAGCCCTTAACCCTTGACAGAAGGTAAACATGACACCCAAGAGAAACAGAACATGGCTTCCTTTTGTTTTTGTTTTGTTTGCTTTTTGGCTGGTTTTCTTTCCTCCACTGTCGTATCTGTGCTCTAGGAAGTTAATGGGGGAGAAGGGCTGGTCAGTTAATGCCATCTGGGTTTCCAACTCTGGATCTTCCGTCCTATGAAGACTTCCATCTGATCAAGGAAAACACGGCATGGACCACGTAGAGCAGAGTGGCCACGTAGGCAAACACCTGGAACCAGAGGGAAGATTGTTAGTGTGAGGTCAGTGGGGTGGGGCACATGGGGCTATGAGGGCTGTCATGTGGCTCTGGAGGACAGATTCACGGTGTGTGGACTGCCACTGCTTCCTGGCACACGTGAGTGTTCCCAGATCCCCAGGTACTCTAACCTTGCTGCCTTGGTCTTGGTGTGCAAACTACACATGTCTTCCATGTCACACTAGGGTCATCTGACCTGACTGGAGACATCAAAGTTACCTCCCATAGACATCACAGCTGGGTATCAGTGACTCTGAAAAACTTCTCTCCCTACACCAGTAAGACCAAGACCGGTATTTCCAAGCTGTGACATTAGAAACTGGGCTATGACCTCATGGACGGGATGCCCGAGTTTGCTGCTCCGGTTAAGTTCCCCATGCCGCCTGTGCTTGATCAGACCCTTTATTGATTTGTTTTGTTTTTGTTTGTGTTTTTTGGGACAGGGTTTTTCTGGGTAGCCCTGGCTGTCCTGGAATTCAGGCTGGCCTTGAACTCAGACATCTGCCTGCCTCTGCCTCCCAAGTGCTGGGATTGCAGACCTTTTTATTTGAAAAACAAAATTTTGTGTGTGTGTGTGTGTGTGTGTGTGTGTGTGTGTGTGTGTGTGTGTGTGTTACTGTGTATGTTTGTGCATGAATCTTGTGTGTGTGCACGTGTGTGCATGGTACATATGTAGGCCATAGAAGGACATCAGACATTCTCCTCTTTAAGATTCTCTGCCTTTTACCTTTGAGGCAGGGTCTCTCTGTAAACCTAAAGCTTGCAGTTTTCAGCCTGGCTGATGGCTACTGAGCACTAGTGGTCCACTGAGTGCCAGGGTTTTACAGCATTTGAAGGATATCCAGCTTGGTATGTGGGTTCTGGTATCTGAACTCTGGACCTCACACTTGTACAACAAGCTCTCTTAACCACTGGGACATCTTTCCATCTCTTGGACCCTTCCTCTTAATCCTGGATTCTTCATTTTCCAGGCACAAGTGAGGCAACCAGGCTTCCTGGGAAGTAGAGAGCAAGACAGAGGAGAGGCACTTGCTTCTCTCAGCAGGAAGTGGTGCACCGAGGAGTTGATGAGGCGATACAGCCTGTCGCTTTGGCAATGAGAACATAGACCCTGGACTGTTACCTGTGACTTGTGCTCACTTGGGCTCTGTGTGTCCCCACAGAGGCTGACCTCCCTAAAGGCTTGCCTACCCAATCCAATATTTGCACCTGGTTTTGTGACCTTGAGCAAGGGGTCAAAAGTTTCCAGCTCAGGCACACCATTTAGGGTGGCCACGCTTCTGTGAGTCTTGGAAATGCTCGTAAACAGCAGCCATGGCACTCAAGCATGGGTGGACGCTCCACCCTCGCTGGCCAGAGGCGATGTGTAACCCAAGTTAGCTAGTGACAAATTTCTGAGAACTTATCTGGGGACTCCTAACTACCTAAGTCACCTGTCCCCCTCAGGTGGGACTTCAGGCCCAAGGAGAACCCTTGGCAGAAGCCCCTCAGAAGTTCTGAAAGGGACAGAGAGTAAAGATTTAGTTTGAAAATGTGATTAAGAAATGGTACTCAGTGGATATTAAAGCCCAGGACATGCTGAGACACATTTTGACCTTCAGAAACCCTTCTCTGTGAACTTCTGCCATGATTGTCCACCACAGTGAGATCTAGATGTCTCCAGAAATCTTGAGTTCCCCTCTGTCGACTTTTGTTGACCCTGGATAGTTTTCTGATGAAAAAGCTCCATTTACTGTCACTGAAGGTCACAGTGAAGAAGCTGAGCTGAAACTGGCCCTGATGAGGACCAGAGAGGGGAACACAAGGCAGCCTGGGTGCCGTGGGGGAGACTCCAAGATCAGGTGTTAATTCCTGAGTAAGGATGGTGCCACCTCCCAGGGTACCAATGCAGAGGATACTGTGAATGGAAATAGCTCTACTTTGAACCTGGTTCACATGTCACCTTATCAGTTCCAGCCCAGTGCACTTGCCAAAGGAGGACATTCTGAATTTTGATTCTAGCGCAAAAATGGCTAGGCATGTGCATGTCTATACAAGTCTAACAAGAAAACATGGGGACAGGATCAGCTTTGGAGTGGAAGAGTAGATGTGGTGAAAGGCCTACAATGGAATACTACACAGCAATGTAATAAGCAGTCTGCATCTATACCCAACCCCATGGATGATTCCTACACATAAGGTTGGGAGAGAGAAGCCAGGCATAAAAGAATGAGCCTTGCATAATTACATTTCAAGAGGCAGGCAAAACTGAACTGGGTGTTAGAAACTGGCTAGTAACAGAGGTGATGGTGATAAGGCCAGTGAGATTTCTCTCTCTCTCTCTCTCTCTCTCTCTCTCTCTCTCTCTCTCTCTCTCTCTGTCTGTCTCTCTCTTTCTCTCTCTCTGTCTCCCCCATACACATACATTAGTAGTGCTGGGGATGGAATCTGAGGCCTTGCACATTCCAGACAAATGCTCTACCACTGGCATGCACCTCAAGGCCTGTATCCTGGTTCTTTCAAACATACTGTACTGAAAATACAGCATCTGTGTTCCTGTAGGTGGGTATGCGCATGTGAGTGCAGTGCCCGTGGAAGCCAGAAGAGGGTCTGGATCTTCCAGACTTTGGGTTACAGGCACTTGTGACACACTAGATGTACGTGCTGGGAACGGCTGTGAAAGCAGCACTCTTTCTCGACTGCTGAGCCTTCCCTCCAGCCCCGTGTATCCTATTTCTTAATTATAGGAAGATTCATCTTCTGAAAATTCATCAATACATCTACCTGAACTGTGCACTTGTCTGGATGAACACTGCCTTTTGATGAAAAGTTGGGAAGTTGGGATGTAATAGAGCCAGGTAACTTTCAACCTGTTCAGTGGGCAAGAATTTTAATTCAATCCACCTAGGTTTCTCCGTCATGGACTGACTCCAACCACATCTAGTCTATAGCAAACTAGTGTTGTCCTGAAGAATTTGAGGGGAGTTGTCAAATGCTTGGACGGCTGTGAACTCAGAAGGCTTGTGGGTTAGGAAGGGGAGAGGTCTGAGGTGCTCCTCCAACAGGCAGGTGAAACAATGATTATAGATGGAGGCAGAGAGGATGGTCACCAACCTCAGGGAAGAAGTCACCATGCTGCCTGGCTATGCTGCTGTTTGGAAACTCCATATTGGAAAGTGTTCCATGACATAGGACAATTAGAGAGGGTAGTGACAGGGACCTCAAGGTGCTCAGGTTCATGAAAGCTGCTTAAGGGGAGCACACAGCTTCTCTTGCTTCTCTTGGGTTGGATAGCACCCTATAACGTTAATGCTTTGAGGAACCTTCGCCCCCACCCCACCCCCACACACTCTCCCTCTAGAAGCATGCTGTCCGACACATCCCGGTAGACTGCATTCAACCTCTTTTCCATAGGTGCAGGCTTTGTGTTAGTTCATTCCACTTTGGGGTTTGCATGATTCACAGGTCAGTTTCTAGAAACCTGAGAAGTACTATTTCTAACTCATTTTTTTATGCCACCCATAGTTAGAAATAAGTTTTATATTGAGGACTCTGAGTAAGTGCATCAATGCGTTACTGCAAGGGTACCACTCTTCTTTCTTGAAAAGAACAAAACAAAACAAAAACCCAAAACAAAACAAAACACCTCTTTCTGAAACATGATCTCTTACTCCTTATTGTTCAGATCTAGTCCGTTAAAAAGAAAACTCATCCATTGTGTTGACTGTATGCCTCTGTGGACAACACTCAAGGAGGGTCACGAGACCCAAATGGCCAAATTCATTGCTTGGAACTGGTACTAAAAGCACGCCCAGGTGGCCAAGACCCTGACTTTGATGCTTGCCAGTCTTGGGAAAGGGTCCGGGCTGCCTCTCCATCTGTGAGATGGGTGTCACAATGTCACTGGTCCCACAGGATCATTCTGAGGGTCAAATACAATCATATCTGCCCATGCACAGCTCGTCTAGCATGAGCCCCTGTGCCCACTGGACCCTGGACCATGCAGCCCTGAGAAAATAACTAAGGGAGTCGTGGCCCATCACGTGGGGGCTTCACTGCTTCGCAAACTTGGGGGAGGTGTGACTTCATTTCAAACACGTTGCACTGTGAAAAGAGAGGTGTGGGCTGGGTGACCCTCCACGCTTGCTCTGTGTACTGCGGGTGCAGGGCTGCAGGGAACTTACCACTGCAGAGATGTTTTCATGGTATTGCTTGTAGGTGAAGCCATCGTACATTGTGATGGTGGCCAGGGCTTCTAGAACTGAGGCACTGAGGTAAAACAGGGCAGCCACACAGTGGTAGGCTGCATCCTGTGGGTGAGAAGGACGTGTCAGAGAGGAGAAGAAAGAGACACCCCAACCCAGACATGGAGACACAGTCCTTGAATTCCCTGCTTCCGCCTTCGCCCCTGACCACTCCCTTTGAACCACACCATAGCCCCCAAGTCCACCAGCTTCTCTCAGAGGATTTGATGGCTGCCAGTTAACTTTCCTTTCCCTGGGCAGGTTCCACGTTGAGTCTTTTAGTGGAAGAAGATGCAGTTTTCCCTGAGGGACTGTTTTCCCTGAGGTACTATGAAGGGAAAGTTTGGGGTGTGTGCTGGCTCCTCTTCATTATTAACTTGACACAAGATTAGAATCTTCTCAGAGAGACACCTCCAGGTGTGTCCTGGAGGAGGGTGTTTCTATAGAGGCTTAACTGAGGCTGGCTGACTCACCCTGAATATGAGTGGCACTATCCCATGGGCTGGGGTCCCAGACTGAATAAGGAAGAGGAAGCTGGCCGAGCACAGGCGTCTGCCCTTCTGCTTTCTGATTACTGGCCCATGTGATTAGCGCCTCACCTCTTCCGCAGCTAACCCTTCCCCACCAAAACAACTGTACCCACAAACTGTGAGGTATTTTTCAATAGCAACAAGAAACATAACAAATACAGGATAACGGGTAGAAACTGGTTCTGGACCCCAAGATCAATTACACATGGTTACAGCCCTGGATAGCATGTAGGCTCTTTGTCCAGTCTAGGGGGAGAGAAGCCTGGGCCATTTCCATTGTTTCCATTTCGTTGTGTTGGTCTTATTTATTTCTTTTGGCTCTTGGTATATTTCAAAGCAAAAAGGAACTGAAAACAAAGTTATGTGTGGTTGAAGTGATTTCAAAAGTTCAAGTAGAATTAGAGATCTAGCCAAGTGGCCTGAACCCACTTTTAATTAATAATAAGCAAGTTCCCCTTGTATTTATTTGAGGCCTGTCTCCTGGGCCTCAAAGCAGAACTTAGGACAAAAGAAAGAACACAGGCCATTTTTGGCATCCGAGTCTTCTGGGAAGCAAGCTTAGATGGGAGTCACCAAGGAGTCAGGCAGAAAGCGTGGTCTGGCCCCTAAGGAGCCATCAGCTTAGGCCCAGCCTCTAGGACTCTGCTTCCCAGGATGCCAACAGCCCTCCTGGATGGTAGGAGTACCTGATGGCTGTCAGGTGGGAGGATGGGGATGGGCTGCTGGTTGTGTTTGAAAAAGTCAATCGCAGATAAGAAATCAGAGCGCCCCATGAGAATCTGCAGCAAAAACATGGATCCTGCCTCTTCTTTCTGACTTCCTCAGTGCGGGAAGCCATTATTGCTAGGAAGCATCTGAACCAAGGCCAGGCCAATTCAGCTTTGGGTTGTGCTGGAAAATGTTGCCAGGAAGCTCCCATTCAGGGTTGGAAAAGTAGTCTTCCAGTGATGGGGGTCCAACACCACTCCTCTCCCCACACACAGATTCCCTGGGCCAGCACTCACCAGTGTGATCCAGGACGTCTCACCGCCATGAGTACCAATTATGTACATGACCATCAGGGAAGTGGTGGCCACGAAGCAGAACACAGACACGAACATGACCCAACCCTGGATCAAGGGAATGGGCACCAGGGAGGAGGCGATCAGGATCCAGACCAGGCCTCCGAAGATCTGCAGGGAGGAGGCAGAGAGAGCGTTGGAACAGGGACAGTAGGGCTCCAGCAGATGCACAGAAAGGGTACAAAGAGGGTGGGCATGCGCCTCAGCAAAAATATTCCTTTTATCTTCCAAGGCCGCAGGCTAGAGCTCCCATCTCACTTTTGCCGTTGCCTGCTGGCTTACTTTGATTCATTTCTTAAGTACAATTTTCATTTTTATTTAATAAACATTGTATTACCCCTGGGTATTGTCTTAAGCACCTCACAAATATTGTTAACTCAGTTAACTCCAGTAGTAGAGGTGAGGAATGGATTCATTTGCCAAATGGGGTAACTGAGGCATGTAAAGGTAAAGGAACTCATCATTGGAAGAACTTCTATTAGTTAGTATTAGCATTAGAAGGGTTACCCCTTCTTTTGAGTGTCTGTTCTCAATTGGTCTCCAAAGTCAGTGCTGGGGAGGCAGAGGTAGGAAGATAGCAAGTTCAAGGCCAGCCTAGGCTACACAGTAAGTTTTAGGCCAGCCTAAACTTCACTATGAGATCCTGTATCAAAATATCAAGGGCTGGAGATGTAGCTGAGTGGTAGAGGTCACTTGTCTAGCCACTGCAAGGCCCTGGGTTCAATCCCCAGCAACAGAAAAAAAAGACTGTAGCAAGAGATTTTTTATAGGTTATTAATGAATGAACATCCTAGCTACATTATGTTATTGACATTTTTTTTTCCAGACCCGAAGTCTTAGATCCCAACTGTAGGAACTTTTCTGACTGTCTGTATTGAAATTGGAGTGGAGAGGCCACAGGTTAGCCTTGTTTCTCAGATGGCTGAAAACCGATGTGAGAGGAGCACACTCCAGGGATAGCCAAGAGATGTCTCCAGGGTTGGAGAGTTCCCCTTCTCAGAGGGGAACAAAAGAGGTTCCAGAAGTCTCCGGGATGGTCCAGCCACACCAGCCTCACTGGGATTTTCTCTACTTCTCTCTGACTCTTTGGCTCAAGCTTCATGACCCTGTCCTAGGCAGATGAGGACGGGGCTGGGACCTGGGGGAGATGGCTCTGCAATCATAAGTCTGGAAAGCTGTGTAATTGAGCAGGACACTTCCTTCTGAGCGGCTGGGGCTGAGGGCAGGCAGCACTCCCTTGTGCTGCAGGTTGAATAGCACCTGCTTCTAGGGGGCATGAGATTACAGCACAGAGAAATGCGAAGGTCAGTCAGGTCTGTCCATCTAGTCAGTAGAGATAAGCATCAGTGTGGGATAGTTCTCTCCAAGTGCCCTTGGTCTGGGGTCTTGTCACCTTATAACCACCTGGGGTCAATCTAAGTCAGGCTACTTGTCTGCATGCTGCAAGGGAGTCCTGTACATCTCTACAGTCCTCGGCCCCCAACATAAGGGCATCTGGCTAGAGGTAAAAGGCATTTTGTCTGATCAGGTGGTTGTAGGAGTGAAGTCTGCCTTGATCGCAGAAGCTGGCTTCCTGAGGGGTTGCCATGAGAACCCATCCACCCCATCTTCCACCCAGCCATCCTCTACCCAGCCATCTTCCATCCAGGATAGTTAAATGGCTGTGCTAAACTCGAGTGACTTATGAACAAAACCACTCTGGGAGCAGCTTGGGTTGCTCATATGTGTGGAAGCACTCTTCTGTAAAATCTGTGTGGGCTCCTGTGGGCCAGAAGTGTGTATGGGTATCTCATTGGCTTGGCTTGAAGGACACTGGACGCCATAGAAGAAAGTATGCCTCTTCCAGTCCAATCCATTCTCCTGATTCCTGCCAAAGAGCTGAGCAGATCGAGACATTTCAGAATTCCCTCAGAGCACAGCCAGCAAAGGTAGACCAGGTAACGATTATGTTTTATGTTTACTGTGGCTATATCATTACTTTTAGGGCAAACAATGGCCACCTGCAAATGGCAGACTTCGAAATGGTTTTCAGTTCCTGGTCTGCAGAAGTATGGGCTGTGTTTTATGCATCTTCTATTACCTCTTTAAAATCTGTTGTCTCCCATGGAGCCGGACACAGGAATTGTGGTAAGGAGTCAAGGGCGGGGCAATGGGCGTATCAGAGTGAAATGACGCAGGGTTTGCCAAGGTCTTCCTAGACGCTAGCACTGAGCTGGCTCTGAGCTTCGGGCGCCTACCTGACTGAATCGGGCTGTGCTCTGGATTCCCCTCCCTGTCCCTGGACACACACACACACACGCACACGCACACGCACACGCACACACACACACACAGAGACAGAGAGAGAGAGACAGAGACATTAATTCCTGGTGGTCCAGACAGAACGCTTGTCCACAACTGTCTAGTGAACAAAACCCATCCTGCACCCAAGTCCAGCCTCCAGCCCCTGACAGACCTCAGGACCTGCCTCTGGGTATGTCACCTAGCAAACTGACACTTTTGAAAATTAGTTGTCCCCCCTACCCTTTGAATGGTAGAGACAGCAGTAGGTTCCACAGTGAGTAACTGGGAGAAAGTTCTCTGTTTGCCTCCCTCCCTCCCTTTCTTTCTCTCTGTTCAGTTTTTGAGACAGGGTCTCTCACTGTAGCCCAGGCTAGCCTGGGACTAAGTAGCGTCAATTGGCCCCCAACTCATGTCAATCCTCCTGTCATCACTTCCTGAGTGTTGGGATTACAGATTCAAATCATCATGGCCAGCTCTCCTTAAAACATTGTTAATGAGCCAGGTGGTGGTGACATACACCTTTAATCCCAGCACTCAGGAGGCAGGGCAGGTGGTTCTCTGTCAGTTAGAGGCCAGCCTGGTCTACAGAGTAAGTTCCAGTACAGCCAGGGCTACACAGAGAAACCCTGTCTCGAAAAACAAAAGAACAAAACAACAAACAAACAAACAAATAAAATCCACAGCAAGAAAAAATCAACCAACCAACCAACCAAACAACAAAATCATTGTTAATGAGATGCAACCCACACATAGTATAATTCAGGCGCTGAAGACCATGCTTCAAAGGTGTTTAATAGACTTACACATACAAACTACCATCACCAAAGCCAGCTTTAGATCACTTTCATAAACTCAAAACTCTATAATCATTAGCCAGTTATGATCATATTTAGCATAATTAGATTTCAAGGTGAGTACTTCTCTTCCATGGGTACCTCTGGAAAACAGCTGTACTACCACAGTCCCCATCAGTTCCTTGTGAGGTACCACTGACTCCTAGGATGAGTTGGCTGTGGTGATGATGGTGTGCCTCTGTGAACTTATCAAAGACCATCGGGCTTTATTAAACACCTGGGGCATTCCTCGTCAGCCTCCTGTCTGTGCTACACCTCAGACTGGGGGCAGAGAACTTCGAAGACGTCATCACAAGCCCTGGCATTTGCCCTCCTGTCTGGCAGTAGGTCTTCCCTATACCCCTCAAGGCTGTATTGTTCCGGGATGGAGCCCGGATGGGAGTGGGGAGGAATCTGTGAGGGTGGCTGAGTAGGGTCAGAGGGAATATGAGGAGGTGGCTTAAAGGCTCACAGCCCCACTGAGAAGGCAAGCAGGATGAGGAGAGAACGTGAGGGGAACAGGGCCAAGGAGAGAGTGTATTTCCAGAAGGTGCCTATGAAAGGGCTTCTCCACTTTGGAGAGCGGCCCTTTGTTCACGTCAGTTCCAAGCTCCTCATTGACAGCTGCAACCTCTGTGGGGCATAAAGGCTTCCACATCCATGGATTTAACCAATTACAGATTAAAAAATGTTTGGAAAATTCAGCCATGGTGGTGGATACCTGTAACGCCAGCACTCAGGAGGCTGAGGAAGGCTTATGAGTTTGAGGCCAGACTGAACTACTGAGTGAGACCCTGTCTTACAAATTACAATGAAAATATCTGGGGAAAAACAGAACAAAACAAAACAACCTGAATCTGAACTGGACGCAGCTCAGGCTACTTTTTCTGGCCTAAATGAAGGCTAAAAGAAGGCTCTGAGGAGGTGAGGTAGCTGGCCTAGGGTATGGCTTCAGTGGTGCCTTGGAGGGGAAGGTGGACTCAGCTGGTTACAACTGGTTCTCTGGAGGGAGACAGAGAGTATGTCACAAGAAGGGATGCTGTAGCACTTTTCAGGGCTCCGGAGGGTGGGGAAGCCAGACACCATGTGGGAGAAGGGGGTGGCAGAAGCCTGGCTGGAGGAAGGGTGAGCCGTGGAGACCTGATATTCAGCATGAATCATGGGGGCCCAAGCCTGTTTGCACCCCACTCCACCTTCAGGCTGTACAGAGGGCAAACAGAGAGAAAGCACAGCACCCACGCCCGGGAGATAAGGCACCCTGGGCAGTGAGCAATCCTCTCAGGCCTGGCTTCAGGACCCCACCAGCCAAATATTTGTCAAGAGCAGCGGGGTAGGTGAGGGTTCAAGAGCATTTCCCTTTGTCATGAAAACTCTAGATGTCTTTCAGCTTTCTGTCTTCAGACACAGAGGTGATTATTAAAAAAAAAAAGAAAACATTATATAACCAGGCGGAGGTGTAGTCCTGGTGTCTGCTCACGTGAAAGCCAGGCTCCCCCATTACCACCTCTATTCCATCATAGCAGAGGCAGAGGAGCTGCCAACAGTGGTCTCAAGTAAAGCTCTCCAGGTTGCTGACCTGGGAGTTACATGGATTGACCATCCCTCTGGGTCCCAGCGCTCCAAGCTGGAAAGTGGGGATAGAACCTGGGTTGATGCTCTAGCCATCAAATGAGCTAGGATACCTTTAAAAATCAAACAACATCCCGGCCTAGGTCCAGGGTCAGAATCAACTGGAGAGAGGCAGAACTGTGGGACAGGAAACAGAGAACCCGGGCCCTTTGCCAAAGGCTGGAAACATGTTTTCATAACATGAGGCTTCAGGTGGTATTCTGCATGTTCCTCACATAGCAGAAGAGGAACCAGTCATGACTCAGGGTCCTGTGGGCTTTCCAACAAGAACTCTGTTCTTGGTCCTGTCTGGCCTCTTGATGCAAAATATCACTGGGAACATCCTTTTTCTGTCTTCATGCTTCCATCCCTGTCTTGCTTTATGCA